CTAGATTGTATGTTAATGGTAAGCTTTAAGAATACTTTTAAGAACTTAGAGAATTGTTGGTCCAAATTTTATTTTCTTAATCTCTAAGAAAAGCTGATGAGGTCTTTCTACCTAAGTATGGTCTAGGTTGCTTAATAACTTTATCAGGCTCATGTTCTTTTAATCTATCTTTTTCTATGACACCCCTTCTAACTCCTTCCGACTTTTATGTTTTATTGCTCTGCGTTCTTCTACATTTTTATCATTAGGATCCACCTCAGTATTGATTGGTAACATCCCTTGATGTCTGTAACTCAATGAATTGAATAACTATTCTAATTATATTTTAGTATTTATAATGGTTGTAGCGTGACTTTGTATCATATTTTTTATTTGCAATACTACTTCGCTCAATGACAATTTTTTGTTTTCCTTAAATTGTTATTTTGAAGTTAATCCATGTGGATAATTAGAACTTTGGTTAAGGTTATTTTCTATGTTATTCTAGTTTCCTAAGGAGTTAGGTTGGTTACTACCTCATTGATAATTTTATATTTTGGTTATTATTCCAATTAAAATTTGGGTTTTTAATCCAACTAGAATTATAGGTGTTTAAATAACTGTTATTAGGTTTATTATTTATAGCATTCAATGACTCTACAACTATAGCACTAGGTTCAACTAACTATCCATAAATATTTTCTTTGACTATCAGAGATCATGGTGTAGAATTCAAGCCTAAATTTTCTAAATTTTTTTGATATTATAACCACATATGCAGTCAACTGAAAATATGCCCTATTCATGAATGCTAGCTACTAAGGTTCACTCTTTCTGAAAGCCATCAGAGATTATTAATGGTCATTTTCTCTATAAGTGCATAGGCATCCTTAAAGAGTTTTGACAATAATGACCCCCAACTTTAGCTTATATTGTAGATCTCAATAATCCCACCAACTTGTTATAAAGTTTTTGTACAATCAATTAATTAGGCAGGGCATGCTGCGAGCACTTAAATCTCTCCTAGACTTTATATATTGACTCACTATCCATCTGGGTGAAATATGTAATGTCATTCCCAAGCTTAGTAGTTTTAAAAGGTAAAATGTATTAAGCTAGAAATTTCTAGTCCAAGCCATTCTTAGAGATTACAAATCTTGGTACTAACAAGTTAAGCCATGTCTTACCCTTATCTCTAAGCTAATTTGAAAATAACCTAAGTCTAACATTGTCGTTTGAGACATCGTTATACCTAAAGGTCGTGCGTAATTCGAAAAAATTAGCTAAGTGTAAATTTTGTCCTTCAATTGGTGAACATCTAAATTGATTATTTTGGACCATCTAAATTATTACAAGTTTCAATTTAAAAGTATTGAAAACTACCGTAGAGTATGAATACTCTATTGAATTTTATCTACTGAAGAATTGACAGTTCCTAAGTGAACTTGGCCGGTCATTTTCTTCTTTTTTTATTTGTCATTGTTCCTAATTTTTTTAAAAAAGTTTTGTAAGGTTTCTAAGTTTTTAACAACCTTTTCTATTTTATGGCCAAATGATACTATTTCAACAAATTTAGTTTACATCGACAACCTAGGACTAACTAGTGACCTTAAGCCAATGACTCATAATAATAAACAAAAATAAAAATGATAGGAACAAAATGAAGTAAATATAGCAAGAATAAAAAAAAATTAATCATAATATTTTTTCATCTTCGATAACTTGAATAAAAATATAAATATATGAAAACTGAAAATAAGATACAACAAAAAGTAACAATATAATTTTCAAATCCTGAATTCTCAATTAATATTCATTTAATTTAAAAAATTAATATATTTTCCTGACAATGATGCCAAAAATTTGATTCTTAGTATAGTGAAGACACATTATAATGTAACTATATGTGTCAATTGAGTAGTAAATGAATTATAAGCCCGTGCTATTGATCTCACAAGAAAAGAGTATTATTTAAAGAAGTTGAATTAATAGTTTACAAATCTTAAATTTTTATCCAAAATATTTTATGTTTTTGAGATTTTTAAATGTCTAAATTCATAATTTCATAATGAAAAACTAAGGAAGTGAGAAAGACTTTCTAAATGGTTTGAAAGTCTCCTTTGAATTGGTTTAGCAAAATTTAAGTTCCTCAAGTGTTTTTCCTATTGCAGTCATCAATCGATATATATTACTTCTGAGATATAGTGTTTCAAAGTATAAATCAATCATATAATCCCTCTTCATATTTTATATTATTATATTTGACTTCAAAAATAAGGGTTAAATCTAACAAACTTTTTTCTTGATTATACATCTCATAAGTTATAACCGAGTTTGGTGACATTCTTTTAATCTAACATCCGAAATGTAAATATGTTGTGATTTATGATTCTTGATCTCAAATACATTTACTTATACTAACTTCGTAGCTTTATGATTATATATTTTTTTTGAAATTGTGAAAAATATATTCTTTTTTTTCTTACTTCTTCAACAAAATTGAATGTTCTTCTTCATCAAATATTGGTTAACAATCTCTTCTTCTCTGTTTTGCAAAAAATCTTGTAGCTTTTAGATACATTGAGAGTAAACTTGAACATGAGATCATTACATAAATAACGACTGAATTGAAGATACTTTTCAGCAACGATCCTTATAGGATAAGAATTATCCATGTATTCCCCATATCATGAGTTTATTAGTTCTGAGTACATTCTAAAGTTGGGTTGTAATCCCAAATTGATGCTTTAGTAATGAAACATTCATTGAGCCAATATTATCCGCATCATATATATCCCTAGCATCGCCTTCACTAGCTCTTAATTAATTAAGATGGTGGACTAATGAATGTATGATTCTCATTTATAGCCACCTAATCTATGCTTGCAAATGCACTTGTTTTATAATTAGAATGTGTAACTAAAAACTTTACTGAAGAGATAGACACACAAATTATATATATATATTGAAAAAGGAATGGTCAGAGGCTATTAGACTAGCCCCGACCATCCCTAGGCGTGTTAAATATTCGAGTACCACACCCTACACATTAGGGGATTCAAACTTGTGACATGAGGGGACTTATGACCTTAAGAGAAGCTGCTCTACCAGTAGGTCACGGTAAGCGCACTTATATATCGTTGAAGTAGAAAACAATATCATAGTTTTGTTAGAAAAATTTATATCATGGATTGTGCCCCACCAAAGTGATATATCATCTCAAGCTTCAAATTAAATTTATTGTTATTAATAGTCTTATACTTATAAGATTTTATCGAAACATGATTCATCATAAAAAGTGCTCAAAATATAAGCATAAGACTATTAGCTTGATCTTATATGCAGTGCAAGAATATATATGATCCAAATATGTTCAAACCTTATTCAAATATAGTTCGACAACAACAAAAAATATTCAAATATGTATCCGAATAAAATTTGACCATGGTTTGAAGAAGAAATGTATGAAGTTTGAGCAAGGATATGGCATTTTTCAAATAAGTTTTCAACCATGTTCTAACAAGGATCAAAACACATTTGAATATATTTCGAATACGATTCGAAGAAGGTTCAAACAATCATCATATCAAGTTTGAATCATTTTAAATACGTTTCACGCGTTGATCAAATTTGTTTGTACATCTCTTCAATCATCTATCTAGTTCTATTTTATGTCTCCATCAAATTGATCTTGATTTAATTGCTCCAATTCAATTTACATCATATTAATCATCACACATTCGCTTGGATTATGTAATACCTCATCATTCAAATATTAAAAAAAAAAAAAAAGGTTAAGCCGTGGCTATCAAAATTAGTATTAAACTACTGTCTAATTCAACTTCACCCTCATTTATTAAAATTAGTATTAAATTAATTCATTTAATACTTTTTAATATGCTTTTGATCAAAGTTTATATTTTTCAACTCTTTAGTTAATAGAATTATTAATTAAGAAAGAATAAATAACTCTTTATTTTTCTCTCCTTGGATTATAATATGGAAATCACATCTCTCGATTTTGATCATCTCATAACTTAGTTGGCGATGGAAATTAGAGTGTCAAAACGGTTTGTTGTTCGCAAACGGCTCGTGTTCAGCTCGTGCTCGGCTCGTTCGCTAAGTTAACGAGCCAAACACGAACAAATATTTGGTTGTTCGTATTCGGCTCGAAATACTACTAATCAATAATATATATATATTGATGAGTAATATTTTTAAAAAAATTAATTGACTACGAGGCTACAAAGATTTATAAGCAATTAAAAATATTAATTAAGAAAATAAAATAAAAAATTATTAAATTAGATTCAAATGATGTTTTAAATCTTGCCCCAATCTTTGGCATCTTATGATTACGTGATTAGGGTTGTCAAAACGATTGTTTATTCGTGAACAACTCACGAAGCAAACGAGTCGAACACGAACACATTTTTTGAACTCGAAATATAAATGATTTGGCTCATTTACACCCCTAATGGAAATATAGGTACGTTAGGGAGGTAAAAGGCAAAACAGGTCTAGGTAGGTTGCCAACAATGAAAGGACCAAGGGTAGAAAATCTATCAATTTTAAAATAAAATAAATTAAATTATATTTAGGATATTTCTAGAACCTCAATCTTACTAAAAAAATTATTCAACTTTATATCAAACATTAAAACGTTAATAGAGAAATAAGCAGAATATAATGTACCCAAAATATTTTCAATGACTGAAAATAGCATACCCATCTCATTAATCTGAAGAGCTGGCATTTACATAAATGCCACCCAATTTCTACGTATTTACATATCGAACATCTAAACTTTGCTGTTTTCAAATCTTTCATATTACATCAAAAATGCCCCTAATTTAACTTTTAAAAAGTGAAATACACATTTTCCAGCACAGGCAAGGTGGCATATACATGGAAATTAAAGTTTAGGTGTTAGATATGTAAATACATGAGTATTGAGTGGTATGAATGTAAATCTTCCAATATGATAATAAGAAGAGCAGGCTGAGCAGCACTCTCAAAACTGAACATAACAAGAGCCAACAATTTCATTCATGGTTTATAATTATTGGAACAAACATGCATACATTTTCCTCGAAAACACATTTAGATAAGATTTCATGAAGATTCAAAGATTCAAAAGCTGCAACTTCTCACATCTTGCCATACACGAGCATTTGTACAGTCAAATAAGGATTGTTTCTTTAGAGCCGAGCCTTTCCCCGTTCAGCAGATGCACTCTGCATGGTATACAAGGAATTAAATGAAAAATAAGCATTCTCAAAAAATATTCCTCATTCAAATCAAAATTGAGAAAAAATAACAAAATAGTGCAATGAGAGTCTAGACAAAGGTTAAATTAGTCCCTGTATATTTTAAATATAGGATGAAATTGAGATTTTTAGACTCTGGGACTAAAATGACTCCAATCAAAGAGTCGGGGGATTGTTTTGACATTTTAATCGATCAAAATTGTATTTTCAAAACAGAAGCCGAGTAGGGCGACACAATTTGTACCAATGGACGGCCGTTAGCAGCACGTTCTGTCAGATAGGCGCATGGTTTGAAGAAATTGCCATATTTTTTTGTCCACTCTTCCAATCTCTTGTGGATGTAGCTTACTCCAAGACTTTCAGCCCAGAAGATGATACCACCCCTGCAGGCAAGGGATAACAATAATGTTGTTGAAGTTAGAAAATGTAATAACTTAAAACAAGTAATAATCATAATTAGCAAATAAATTCAAAAGAATTAAATAAGAACAAAAGATAAATTTAATAATATTTATAATAACAGCTAACTTATTTAAGAAATCTCACTTTAATTAATATAATTTAAATCAAAACCTATTAAAATGAATGTATTACACACACACACACACACACATTCTAGAGAATGAAAAATTATAACATCAGTTTATACAACTAATAATACCGTTTAAGTGGCACCAAATAAGCAACCAATTAAATTGGTTTTTAATAGAGTGCGGGTGATTAATTATTTAGCATGGCATCATACATGATTACAAGAGTAATCATTTTAACTCTTCTACTAAATTTGTTTTCATTAATTGGTTATTTAACAAGAATATAATTTGTTCTCATTAAATAGCCAATTAATGAAAGCTAATATAATAGAAGAATTAAAATGATTAGTCTATGTAATCAGATGTGATGACATGCTAAATAATAATTAAAACTTTTGCAAATAAAATTATTTATAAAATTATCGCACAAAAGAAAGCCACATCGTAAACAAATAAGTAGCAAGCCAGCCTTAAGATGGGTATTAGCTTACAGTAATAATTTTTGGTCTTCTAAATTTTGTGCATTTAATATTATGGCCTTTTACATGCACTGATTAATATTCTTATTAGTTTATATTGCAAAACAACTAAGTTGAGATTCTCTATCTCATCCCTAAAATCCTCACATTGATATGGAAAGGATATCTGGCACTCATATTTCAAACACCAGTGATTGTTAAATAAAATTTTATGGTTATTACTTAAATAATTATGTGATGAAAAGAAGGCAAAAGATGCTATATAGAAATGAATGCATGTGCATGTTGAAGATAGAGGTCGACTTCTTATGATAATGGTTGGGGATGCTTATACCAGTGAGAAAAATGATTACCTATTCTTGAGGGTCAAGTTTAGGAAGGTGATTCAAACGATTTTATCCTACATACACAATTTCAATAGTGCTCATGTGAAGAATGTATTATAATAAATCAAAATATAAGAATGATGAAGACAGTTAAATGATAGTTTATTTGTTTAATCAAAGAGAAATTACAAATGCATTCTATTCATTGCTCACGAATAAGAATTGTTTTATAAATTTAGTACAAATTTGCATGCATACTGTCATATGATTTTAAAATTACTATAATTTAAAAATATAATTAGCTATTAAGTTGTTGATAATTATTTTCAAAAAAAGTCTCCCTTGACTTAATGAATGAAAGAAAATGTTTTTATACACTAGAAGAATAATTAGCGACTGAGCTATTTAACTCACATAATAGTTTATAATTATTTTTCAGGGAAGCCTATCTTAAATGGGTAGAAAAAAGTGTTTGTTTACAACAAAAGAATAGCTGCTGAAGATAAGCATCATAGTAAACTTATGTATCAGTTTGTATTTTGAAATGTCTTTTGGGTGAAAGAAAGAGTACTTAACTGTATAGTTTAGTTGGCTCTTTTGAGAAATGAAGATTTTATATTTGAAAAGCCTTTGAATTTTCTGCAAAGAAATTTAAGTCCAATCTTCTGTTCCTACCTTAATAATCCAAAACTTTGAGACCATCATAATAGAAAAAGTGGAGAAACAAATTAGTTTCTATGTTCCATTATTCACTTAGATGTATATAGAAATTAAAAATAATTTTTAACTCTAAAAAGACCATTGAAGTTCCTTAAAAAAAGGATTTTATTTTCACTCAATTAGTAAAGCAAAAATCATTATTTTCTACGATGTATTTCTTTGTTGAGGCAATAGAAAAATATCAAACATGTAGAAGAAGAAGCCATGAACCTGTATGGAGGGAAGCCCATGCCCATGATAGATGCGATATCAAGGTCTGATGCCTTAACAGCTATACCCTCATCAAGAACACGACAAGCCTCATTCACAACAGGCAGAAAAACCATTTCTACAATATCTTTATCTGAAACCTTCAGTAACTGCATTCATACACAAGAAACATGGAATGAGGGAGTAAATGTCTAACGTTAATTAAGCAATACAAAAATTAAAGAAAGTAAATTTTCAACCACTCTATAATGAATTTAAAGCTCTCCAACTATAACACAGTCTTTAATAATGCTTGCTAAACTGTTACAAAAATACCAATTTTTTTTTTTTAAAAACAATTCAAATAACGATAAATAAAAAAGGAAATAAATTAAAGAAAGGATTTTCATTAATCAACTAAAAAACTAGTCATTAACATCTCCACCTATTTAGACGTTTCGGTCCATGCATCATTCAATCATAGGAACTTTTTAAGATGATGTTACATCTCAGGAATATGGTGACCCTTCATTATTGGCTATTACATACAAAGCACACTGTGGTTCGTAATAAACAGGTTCAAATGTAAAAATGGTGAAAATAAAAAAAGCAACATTCCTATGTAGGAAACTTGGATAAAGTGAAAGCATGCTGATGAATTAAACAGAAGGTAGGTTTATAGTAAAAAGTAAATAATTTACGAGTAAAGTGTCAAAATAACCCCTTGACATAATTATGGGGGGCATTTTAGTCCAAGACTATAGAAAAGTACTAATTTAATCCTGAGACTCATTTTTTGACGCTTCCCTCCCTTGCTGCCGGCAACCCAAGCCGCATCTCCTCTCCTCTCCTCTCTCCGGAGAGCCTCCGTTTTTCCCAAACCCGCAAACCATCCCTGCGCCGATCCCGCATCGGCGAACCTGCAGCCCTCTCCAGCGGCCTAGCTACCTAACCATCTCTCCGGCGAAGTCAGCCAACCCTCAAAGTCTTCCTTTCTGCCCTTGAACTAGCTGTTCCTATTCCAGTTGGCACAACAACTGGAGCACACGGCCCGCAAACCACTTATGGAGCCCAATCGAACCCCTTCGTCTACTGCTACCGGTGACCTTTCCGACAAAGTCCAAAACCATAGACTTCTCCTCCTCTTGCAACCCAAAAGCCATTGGTTTTCTCTTTTACACAATGGCAACCCAGGCATTGCGATCCTATTCCGGTCACATTTTTATTCCGGTCACACTGCCGTCCTACATGGGATTAGAGCTCCTCAACGGATCTCCACCAAGATTGTAGTCGTCTCCTGCTCAACTTGCTCCCCCTCCTCCAAAATTAGAGTGCAAAAACAACAGAGAGAAAGATAGAAGAAAAGAAAGAAAGAGAAGAAAGAAAGAGAAAAAAACCAGTAAAAAAACTAAGAGGGATAAGACGATGCAACTTCTTTAAAGATAATGAAGATGGGTTGCCGCACATAAGTATCCTTGCACTTTGCTCCAACAACAACAACAACAACAACAACAACAACAACAACAAGTCTTTATCCCACTAAGTGGGGGTCAGCTACATAAATCCTTTTTCTCCATTGCCTCCTATTGAGTGTTATATTTTCATTTAATTCTAATAAATTAAGATCATTTTTATATAATATGCCAAAGTCTTTCTAGGCCTATGTCTGTCTTTCTTAACATAAGTCGAATCTAAAATATCTACTCCCCTAACCGAATTATCAGATGGGCTACGTTTAATGTGACCAAAACATCTATAAGAAGACTCTCTCTAATTTTATCTACCACTGGAGCAACATTAACTCTATCACAGATATATTCATTTCGCATTTTGTCTCTAAGTGTCAAGCCACTCATCCACCTAAGCATTCTCATCTCGGCAATACTTAACTTTGTTTTATGATACTCTTTTAAAGGCCAACATTCTGCACGCTGAGACTCATTTTTTGACGCTTCCCTCCCTTGCTGCCGGCAACCCAAGCCGCATCTCCTCTCCTCTCCTCTCTCCGGAGAGCCTCCGTTTTTCCCAAACCCGCAAACCATCCCTGCGCCGATCCCGCATCGGCGAACCTGCAGCCCTCTCCAGCGGCCTAGCTACCTAACCATCTCTCCGGCGAAGTCAGCCAACCCTCAAAGTCTTCCTTTCTGCCCTTGAACTAGCTGTTCCTATTCCAGTTGGCACAACAACTGGAGCACACGGCCCGCAAACCACTTATGGAGCCCAATCGAACCCCTTCGTCTACTGCTACCGGTGACCTTTCCGACAAAGTCCAAAACCATAGACTTCTCCTCCTCTTGCAACCCAAAAGCCATTGGTTTTCTCTTTTACACAATGGCAACCCAGGCATTGCGATCCTATTCCGGTCACATTTTTCTGCCGTCCTACATGGGATTAGAGCTCCTCAACGGATCTCCACCAAGATTGTAGTCGTCTCCTGCTCAACTTGCTCCCCCTCCTCCAAAATTAGAGTGCAAAAACAACAGAGAGAAAGATAGAAGCGAAGAAAGAAAGAGAAAAAAAAAAAGAGAAAAAAATCAGTAAAAAAACTAAGAGGGATAAGACGACAAATGAGATGCGGTATCGATGCAACTTCTTTAAAGATAATGAAGATGGGTCGCCGCACATAAGTATCCTTGCACTTTGCTCAAACAACAACAACAACAACAACAACAATAACAACAAGTCTTTATCCCACTAAGTGGGGGTCAACTACATGAATCCTTTTTCTCCATTGCCTCCTACTGAGTGTTATATTTTCATTTAATTCTAATAAATTAAGATCATTTTTATATAATATGCCAAAGTCTTTCTAGGCCTACGTCTGTCTTTCTTAACATGTCGAATCTAAAATATCTACTCCCCTAACCGAATCATCAGATGGGCTACGTTTAATGTGACCAAAACATCTATAAGACGACTCTCTCTAATTTTATCTACCACTGGAGCAACATTAACTCTATCACAGATATATTCATTTCGCATTTTGTCTCTAAGTATCAAGCCACTCATCCACCTAAGCATTCTCATCTCGGCAATACTTAACTTTGTTTTATGATTCTCTTTTAAAGGCCAACATTCTGCACGATAGAGCATTGCAGGTCTCACCATCATATTATAAAATTTTCCTTTCAGTCTAAGCGATAGTTTTCTATCACACAATAGGTTCGATCATTTCTCCACTTCAACCAACCAACTTGAATTCTACTAATAACATCCCCGTCTATATCAGCATCACTTTGAACAATAGACTCGAGATATCTATTGCGTTCACACAATTTAATGATTTGATCACCCATACTTACAATTCTGCCACTAGAGCTACTGTTACTAAAATTATATTTTATGTATTCAATTTTAGTTCTACTCAAATAAAGGCCTTTAGTCTCCAATATAGACCTCTATAATTCAATTTTTTTCCTGAACTCTTCCTCTAGTCTTATCCACAAGAAGTATATCATCAGTGAAAAGCATACACAAGGGTACATCCTCCTGTAAATGTCTAGTAAAAGCATCCATAACTAAAGCAAAAAGATATGAGTTTAAAGTCGATCCCTGATGTAATCCAACTCAACTAGAAAAATATTGGGTCACTCTTCCAGTTCGAACAAAAGTAATAGCTCTAGTATACATATCTTAAATGACTTGAATATAAGTCATATCAACACATTTTTTTCTCTACAACTCTCCAAATGATTTCTCTTGGAACCTTATCGCAAGCTTTTTCTAAATCAATAAAAATCATATGCAAATCCTCCTTATTCTCTTTGTACTTCTCCATCAAACCACACAATAAATGTATAGCATCCATGTAGGCATGCCTGACATAAACCCAAACTGATTATGAGAAATATTTGTAATATGGTTTAAGCTATGTTCAATTACCCTCTCCCATTATTTTAAAGTACGACACATCAACTTAATTCCTCTATAATTTGCATACTCTTGTGCATCCCCTTTAATTGTAAAAATGAGGACCAAAATAGTCTTCCTCCACTTCTCAAACATCTTTTTAATTTTTATAATAATATTAAAGAATTTACTAAGCCAAAAAACTCTCAAATCTCCTAAATATTTCCACACTTCAAGTGGGATGTCATCAGGTCCTACTGATTTTCCACACTTGGTTTTCTTTAAAGTCTCCACTTCTTTTGTACTAATGCGATGATAAAATAAAATATTTTATTATTATTAATGATATTAAGATCACTAAAGTCCATCGTATTTTCAAAACTTTCGTTGAAAAATTCATCAAAATAACTCACCCACCTATGTTGAATATCTTATTAAAAAAAAATATTTTTTGATTTTTATCTTTAATACACTCAACTTGAGTTAAGTTTTTACTTTTCTTTTCTCTTTGTTTGACTACTTTATACATATATTTTTTACCCTCTTTAGTTTTTAATCTATTATAAAAATCATTAAAATCAGAATTTTTAGTGGCACAAATTGTTCTCTTAGACTCTCTACGGGCCACCTTACATTTTTTCCAGTTATGTGAGCTTTGGCATTTAAACTCATTTTTATAACACAATTTCTTATATTTTATTATTTCTTGCACAATATTATTCCACCACCAACAATTTTTATTTATAGACTTTTCCTTTTGATTCTCAAAGTACATCTTTTGCGATTTGTTTAATAGTGACAAATAAAAAAATACATGCTTATCTATTCTTCTTCATGTATATATCTCAAGCCCCATGCAAGTTTTTTTAAGTATAGTCGGTTAAAGACCCATCAACATTATATCTAGTGGCAGGAATAACTTCGTGTGTGTGTGCCATATTATTTTTGTACAGGTGCGCAAAGCCCCAAGCATTCTTTTTAAAGCATGGTGGGTTATGAAGTCCCCCAGATCATAGTGTCGAAAGACATTGACTGTGCACGCTTTTTTTAAACATGGTAAGGAAGGTCTCAGTTTCTCAATGTAGCCCCTTAAATGAGGACAAAGCTGGGAGGCTATCGAAATGGTGTCAGATTTTTATCTAAATGTCGTCATGAAAAAAAAACTAAATTGAATTCATTTGAACAAAAAAAGCAATCAATTGAAAGTTCATAAGCTACATTTTAAAGAATGAAACGATTACATAAATCATCTCAAAAGAGTAAAATTGAATATAATAGGCAGCTCGAATGAAACTTGTGATAGATAACAAATACGCTAACA